TGGGGGTGTGGATAAGGGTTGGGGCGAGTCAGGGGACAGGTAGGGGGTAGGGTCCTAGGGGGGCAGTTAGGATGTGGGGAAGGTCTCAGGAGGGGACAGTCAGGGGACAAGGAGCAGTTAGGGGCAGGAGTCCCAGGAGGGGGCAGTCAGGGGACAAGGAGCGGGGGGGTTGGGAGTTCTGAGGGGGGCAGTCAGGGGGCGGGGAGTGGGAGGGGCAGGGGCGGGGCTCCCACCATTCTCTTTTTTGATTGTTGAAATATGGTAACCCTAGGGCTCATCACAGTGGTGGCTGAGCGCCTGCATCTCACCTGACTTGTAGTCCCCATCTCCCCCCCTTTCCAGCCATTATGGACAGTTGCTATAGAATTTATTAGGAATGTAACCAATAATCAACCAGGCCTCTCCCGAAACCTCTGGGAAATTGAATGGAGCATCCCACCGCTGCACTAGACTTCAATAGTTCGGCTTAAAAACGCTCCAGAAAGGTGCCATTCTCTAACCCACTGATGGGGCCTTGGCTGCTTCTGATAGCTGGCTGGAAATTTTGCAAGGCAGGTAAATACATTCATTTTCAATCACAACCCAGTGCAGGATTCAATCCCAGGTCTCCTGGGGTGCTAATGGGGACAAGGACTTTGGAATACCCCAGTCTAAAGAGAGCCCCGCCAGATGCTAGAACAGGAGACGTTCCCATTCATTGGGCCTGCATAGGGGAAAACCCCCTTGCTCGCACACTACCACATCACGCACCCCACCACACCCCGGCACATTTTTAGAAAGACTCGAGGCCCCCAAAGACTCAAGCAAATCCTTAAGCCTGGGGGGAAGCTCAGTGGTTTGAGCATTGACCTGCTCAACCCAGAGTTGTGAGTTCAATTCTTGAGGGGGCCATTTAGAGATCTGGGGCAAAAATCTGTCTGGAGATTGGTCCTGCTTTGAGCAGGATGGACTAGATGATCTCCTGAGGTCCCTTCCAACATTGATATTCTAGGATTCTATTCTATGGCAGCACTTCCAGTTCCTTTGGGCCAATTCCTGCTGCTGCTGGTGTCGGGAGGGGTTTAGGCAACAGCTGATGGCACTGGAGTTAAATGGCTGGATGTAAACACCTAGCATCTCACAGCTGTGGTGAGGCTACATGGGCAGTAGGGAACTTCCTCATGACACAGGTCCAGGCTCTTCTTCACGTGCCCAGAAGAGGCCAGACCATTGTTCCCTCTAATTTTTCCCTCACATGTGCGGAATGAATTTTGTGATGTGCACCAATAGGAGGTGATGTGTGGCAGGGGGTGGGGCTGAGAGGTTTGGAGTATGGGAGGGGACTCAGTGCTGGGGCAGAGCTCTGGGGCTCCACGGGATAGGCGCCTCTCCCCGGGCCACAGCAGGTCCGGGTTGGGGCCAGGGGAGGGGCACCTCTCTCCCTGGCCACGGGAGGTCAAGGGCTAGGCTGGGGCCAGCAGGGAGAGGCACAGCTTAGAGGGAAGTTAGGGCCGGACACAATGGCCTGGATCCACAGAAGGACTTAAATGTGGCAATGCTGAGCGTTGCAGGGCTTACATTTTAGGGGCCATGGGTACAACCCTGGGGTGCACAAAGCTGATGAATGGGGCGAGACCAGCACCTAAGAACATGCTCCCCAAAAGCCAGCATGCTTAATAGGGAGTCACCTCTGCTCACCAATGGGAGACCTGATGAGAGGCGTGTCCTGGAGCTAGGCAACCTTGTCTGGGCTGCAGGCAGGCACTAGCTCTGCTAGCGAGCCACAAATAGGTGCCCCTCTCTGGGACAGGTGGCTCAGGCGCCCAAGTCATGCTGGCAGGACTGAGTCAGCTATCTGCCTGCACCACACAAAACAGCCAGAGAATGACATGGTGGTGCTCATCCCAGTGGTTGGCGCACTCACATGGGATGTGGCAGGCCTGGGTCTGAGAGGAAAAGGGGCTTGAACAGGCTCTCCCACCTCTCAGGAATGGGCTCTAACCAGTGGGCTCAAAGCAATAAGGTAGGCACCACTATCAAATAGGGCTCGATCCTTTCGGCACGCTCTGAGCACACCCACCTGCTTGGCCCTGCAGGTACGATCACCCCCCGGCTTCCCCTGGGTTGTGGATTGCGCAGCAGCACAGGTGCTGTGGCACCTTTTGCCCTGAACACGTAGGTGCTGAGTTTGGGGGCAGCTGAGTGGGGGCTTGGGGATGGCAGTGGGACTGGGACTTAAGCGCTAAGTCTGGGATTTTCTCTTTTGTGGTGCTGGGCCAACCAGGCTGAGCTCAGAGGCGCCAGCACCTGAGGTATCACTTTGTGAGCAGTGTGTCCTAATGGACAATGCACTGTGCTGAGACCTGGGTTCTAGTCCTGGCTTTGCTGCTGAGTGACCTTGGACAGTCATGTCCTGTATCTGTGCCTCAGTTTCCCCAGCTGTAAATCAGGGATACCAATACTGACCCCTTCCTAATGTGCGTTGCAATCTACTGGGCTTGTTATTGCTGTTGTGAGTAGGTTACCCATACACCCACTCTCCCCTACCCATTGGGACGAGCTCCTTTCCGAACCATCAGCTGCTAATGGGCTCGTCTGCACTCACCACGCATCAGGAAGGCAGCAGCTCCCATCGCTCAATGAGAGCTTGCCCGCCAACGCT